TCGAAAATTTCCAGTAGCATCACAAAACTGAGCCAAAGAGGCTCGATGCGTCGAGAATGACGAGTGAGACGCGACAAGTTAAGGCGCTACAAAGGAGAAAGGCGGCAACTAATTTCCTAAATCCAAAACATGGCGTTGACTTCCAAATTCAATTCAAGCTTTAATCAAATTGTGGGGCACTGATTACAATAAAGCAAGTTGTGGCAATTTCCTAATCTAAATAAAGGAATTACAATTTCGCCCTAGCTTTGTATCCACTATAAAATCCCACCTTCCTCAACCTTACGGAGATTAGAGAGATTTTTAGAGTTCTTTGTAGACAAGAAAGAGACAAATCAAAAGCCTCAAGTTGTCTCTAGAAGCAAGGAGGAAGCCAAAGAGATTTGGGAGAATCGCTTGGTCAATTCTTGTACTCTTTTGATGATTTGTAATTCTTTATTTATATTTGCTATGTATAATTTAGCCATGCTTAGCTAAATTCTTTAAGGATTTTTGGGTGAATTTGTTTATGAACCTATGTGCCCAGTTCGTTAATTTCTTAATATATTTATGTTTGGTTTTATGATTTGTGTTGCAATCTTGTTTTAACCTGTTGTTATTGGTACGTAATTAAAGGCCTAAATTACTAGCTTCATAGTCATGTTTGTGTCACCAATAGGAATTGGAGCATAAATTAGGGCACACACGATTGCACCTAATGGTTGGACCTTGGGAAAGGGGAACTATTGGGGGAATCTTATTCTAGATTGTTGCCAATCAGGAGATGGTAGTAATTGGGAATAATTGAATGTTGATCTTCAATCTTATTGGGTGTTTAAGCCACGAGAGTGGAAATTCACTAGGAATAGAGATTACGGGAATAATTCGATTCCACTTTGCATTCCCATACAAACCTTAATTCCAAACTAAATATTACAAACGTTAATTGGCACTAGGTGATTAAACATTGTGATCCCAAGAATCCTGCTTTGCTCTATTGTCTACAAAACCTTGTTATTTATTTTATTCTGTTTGTTATTTTCTACAATTACCCAACCTTAAAGTTTCGTTCAGACTAGTTTCATATGAGTAACCTAGTACCTAGTGATTAGTACCCCATCTCCCTGTGGTTCGACAACCCGAATACTCCGGGTATTATTTGTTTGCCCCAAATTACCGCAATCAAGCTCCTTACTATACCATTCATGGATGTACTCTTCATGTTGATGTCCTTTGTGAAATATGACACAAATGCTATGAGGACATGGGATACAAGTTAACTGCCAAAGTCTACAAGAACATGTTCTCAAGTGTAAATTGACTTTGAATTGAAATCTCCCCTTTTTAATGTCATAGCCTTCAACCCCATTGAATGACACTTCCCAACCTGCATTCTCAAGTATGTTCATCACGAATGAGTTATAATTCCCTCTCTATTTTTCAGCACATGTCTTTGCAATCCTCTTCATCGCAGATACTCGTATATCCTCAAGCATTGGAATTATATTCTTTGCCCTTGCATTCAACAATGTCTTATTGAATGCCCCACTCAAGTTGTTATCTACCATGTCATACTTCACATTTTCTTTGAAGAAAGCTTTGCACCAGCATTGCATATGGTACTTGTGAAGATCATGGCATGCAACAACATCTAGCTTCCTAAAGCCTTTACACTTTTTGCAAGTTGTGCTTTATTTGGGGTCTTTGCAATATGCTAGAAATGACTCTTAAGAACCTTCTCCCAATGTCTCTTACTCCAATTGGCATGTGCATGCCTAACACAGTTTCTATGTTAACACCAGGGAATAGATCTTGAATGACATTAGATAACCCCTACCATTGCAAAATGAATTTAATTATATACAAACTAATTAACAAAATGAAATGGGATTTACCTTTTACTTATCACTCATTAATGTCCAATCGCTGGTTTCCCAAATTTCTATGTCTACATTTAAAAGCTCTAAGAATTATCTCTATGAAGAGCTATTTTCAATCTCAACTACAGCCCAAACAATTGGGTACATTTGATTATTCTCATCTCTACTCATAACTATGAGGATTTCACCCTTCAATTTGCCCTTCAAGAAGCATCTATCAAGTCCAATAAACTTCTTACAGCCCTCTAAGAATCAAATTCTTCATAGCATTACAACATACATAAATCCTCTCATATACTAAGGGTGAAGTAAGAAATGTTCTTGAAGTTTTAATCTTTACAGTAGAACTTGAATTTGAATTAAGACACTTTTGAGCATAATCTCTATGCCTCTTGAACCGACTCTCATACCTTATATCCAACTTTCTAATTCACTCCCATGCTCAACCCCTAATTCAGCCTCAAACTCATCCTCAGCTAGAACTTCACCCCCATCAGGCCCAAATAAACTTAAACCAAACACTTGAGGCTCATCTACCCCATGTTCAACATAAATTTCTGTATTTTTTTTTTTATTTTGATGAGCAAGCTGAGCTAAGTGTAGACTACTAGCATCATTATCTAATAGCCTTAAAGATTGAAATGGTTCAAATGTCAACTTATAAGTAAGTGATGCTCTTTTCCCATATCTTTGGTCTGCTATTTACTTAACTAAATGGGGATAACATATAAAGTCCAGGTCAAGACGCACTACTGTTTCCAAAAAAATAACAGGACCCCAGTACATCAAAATCATACACATATAATATCCGCAGGACCACACTACATCAACATGACACTATTGGAAATTATGGAATTTCCGACCATCTGAAAGTGATCTTAAATCAAGTCGAAATCCTTGTTCCGACCACTTTTGGTATCCGAAAAAATCTTTATTGCTATTTCCGATCACTTTTAGCTTTCAATTTGATTTAAGATCACTTTCAAGTGGTCGAAAATTCCATAATTTCCAGCAGTGTGATAACCATATATTATTCACAACAGGACCACACTACATCAATATCATAAACCCTACCACGCCACAATCCCACTAAACACCACAATATAAAAACATTAAATGTAACACAATCCCACCAAATACCACAAAAACTATAATTTGGTCTACATACCTTATGATTTCTGGTTCTCGACCTCGTCGTCTCTTCCTTGATTTCTCAGTCACGTACTCATCACTTCCTCGTATTCTTGTTCGTCGTATTCCAGTAGGTTTTCTTCTTCGTCGAATTTCAGACCATTGGCAATGGGGATTAGGATTGCGTATGGCTATTATGGATTAGAGTTGCGTATGGCGATTGGGGATTATTGTTGGTCGACTTTTTTAATTCTTTTATGAAAAACATAAAACATTTTTTTTTTGTTTAAAGAAAACATATCAATTGCTGCCATTAGTAATTATATTTATTAAACAGGCCAATAACAAATAATATTCACATCAACTAATAATTGGTGTCATGTCATGGTAACTGGAAAATTGGTGAAAAGTTCTATATGAAAAAAATAATGGTAAGTAAATTGAAATATATTATATGAAAGAGGAAGGGAAAATGGCGAGTTTGGTCCCTGAGTTATAATAGTAGTTACATACGATTCAGTCCCTGAGTTATGACCGTATCCAGTCCCTGAGTTATGACCGTATCCATTTTTAGTCCCTCAGTTATGAGCGAAGTGGCACATTTAGTCTCTGACCGTTAAAACTAACAAGAAAAATTAAAAAATATTTAAAATTTTAGGGGTAAATTAGGAAATTCACATTTTATTCACTTTCTTATATAGAAACCACTTTTGCAACATTATTTTCAACTTCCTAGCATTCTATTTCAAGGTTCTTCAATTCAAAAGTAATTCAATAATTTTCGTATGACTTGTTAGTAACATGAGTCTCGTATAAGGAACATGTGACTCACTACAAACAAGAGAACACTTGATCATTGTCTTCAAGCATGTAAAACACACCATCATAAAAGTTTATGATTTCCCTTACTAAACATAATGGTAATCAAACCATAACTTTTGAAATACAAGAAGATATCAAATTTCTCAGTCATTTTTATGACAAATTCACCAAGGGAGTAACTTGAGATTTTTAGTACGTAAAATGATTTCGTAAGCTCTGCAAGTAACTTAATCAAGAATCGTATATCCTGACCATATATGAAAATTATATATATATATATATATATATATATATATATATATATATATATATATATATATATATATCCATCACCTCCCCTGTCTTCTTAAAAACTAGAGTAATGAATGGGGAACCTAAGATTCAGTTATGAAAATTCTAAAAACGATTTTTGACTGTTGCATATGAAAAAATTTTACATATTAAAAATCTCAAGTTATTCCGTTGGTGAATTTCTCATAAAAGCAACCTGAGAAATTTGACATAATTTTGTATCTCAAAAGTTATGGTTTCCAATGTTGCTCAATAAAGAAAATTAAAAATTGAAAATTGATAGGATAGTGTGTTTCACACGTCTGAAGAAAATGATCCAGTATTTCTTTGTTTGTGCTAAGTTTTAACTTTTAAGTTTGTTATACGAGAGCCATGTTCCTAACAAGTCAAACTAAATTATTGAAATGCTTTTAGAATTGAACAATCTTGGAATAAGAGGCTAAGAAATGAAAATTAATATTGTGAAAGTGGTTTTTATATAAGAAGAATAAAATGTGAATTTCCTACTTTACCTCTCAAATTTTAAATATTTTTTAACTTTTTCCGTCAGTTTTAACGGTCGGGGACCAAATGCGTCACTTTGTTCATAACTGAGGGACTAAAAATGGATACAGCCATAACTCAATGACTGAGCTGGAACTTAAGTATAAGTCAGAAACTAAAGATATAATTTTTTCAAAAACGAAAAATTAATATGTAACATGAATAATGTGTAATAGTTCATAGTGCGAGATGATATTTTAACATATTATTTATGAGTAAAAATATCATCATTTGTTGCTTTCTAACTTTCCGTAAAAATTGGTTTGTTCACTGAACACGCCCTCTGGAATTTTCCATGTATCTTTGATTAGAGCACTAATAAATACTCCGTAAAAGGAAATTAATAAATAAATAAGTTAGATATGCAAGAATCCATCGCTGAATTGTGCGAGTGGACGGTGGGCCATTGGTGACGGCTGCTCAGTCCATATCTACTTTTCATTCATCTCTCTCTCTCTCTGTTCTTCTCACGCACCAGAAACCCTAGCGAGCGCCTCGCGATTGTTGCCTCCTCACAGGTGAAACGTTTACCCAGATCATCGTATCATATCACATAAACATATAGTGTTTTAACGTTTGTCTTTGAATCTCATAGTTTTTTTTTTTTTTTTTTTTTTTTTTTTTTTTTTTTGCGCTCTCTCTCTCTCTCCCTCCCTCTCCCTCTCCATAGAGATTTCTAATTTTCATTTTCATTTCCATTGATGATTGATAGTGGATCTTGAGAACTGAGTAAGAACCCTCCGGAATTTCGCTTCTGTAAGCGAGCAAGATTTGTAAAATCAATTAGCTGAAAAATAATACATCTATCTGAGCTTAGAATTTACATTATTTACTGCTCCCTTTTTGTTCAATTGGAAATGAATTTTTGTTGCCAAAATTAGTACCTCAATCCCCCGCTAGGTAGTGGTTTTATTCTGTGGAAGTTACCGGAGGAGTTCTTGATTATCGCAAGAAATTGAGCTCAGTCCCTGGAGTATATTACTGAATTTCGGGAGGGGTTGGAGGTGTTATACATTTTGATGGAATTTCAGATTTTTAGCTGCAAACGGGGGCAGATTAAGTTATTGAAACCAATAATTCTGAATAATACATTAATTTTGGGGATATGCAGGTGGTTACAATGTCTACTCCAGCTAGGAAGAGGCTTATGAGGGATTTCAAGAGGTTGCAACAGGACCCTCCTGCGGGAATAAGTGGTGCACCTCAAGATAACAATATTATGCTTTGGAATGCTGTTATATTTGGGTGAGTGGTGGTATGGAAATGCATAAAAAATGTGTCTAGTGCTGCATTCTTTTGGTTATTTGTGTGGTATGGAGTTAGATAAATTGTTCTTTCATTTTTGTTTTGTTTGGATTGCAGTCCTGATGATACCCCTTGGGATGGAGGTGAGTTGTTCTTGCCTTTGAAAACCTAAAATTAACTGATGAAATTACACGATGAGTTTTTTGCTTAGACATATTCTGCATATATATGGATTTAGTGTCATTTTATTATTTAATGTGCCAATGAGGGTTGGTTGAGTTGGTAAGACCAATTCTTGCTACCAACAGTCCCTTGTGGTGGGTGATTTCGAAGTCCTCTGTGAGGCCTGCAGTATGCCATGGCCCTATATTGTGAAGCCTCCCCTCATCTGAATTTGAATGTGTGCTAATTAGTCTCTTGTTTTATGATGATTGTGTGATTATATCTGTCTTTCAGCTACATGGTACTATGATACCAACTTGGGATGTGAGTGTCTCCATGAAAAGAGCATTTCAATCATTTTGCTGAATCAATCTAATTGCAATATCCTTCTCGCCCCTACTGCATAACAAGGGAGCTCCTTTGGTTCTCTATAGTTACTTGTAATGTATCAACATTCACAACTAATTCAGTTCTTTTGATGGAATTCTTATGAAATTCATCTTCATTATTATCAATCAATAATAATGTGGTAGATGTTGGGGATCTTTTGTTACGGCAAAACACACCAAACACCCTAAATTATTGTAGCATAGAAATCTCTCCAAAAATTGCATTCATATAATCATATCAGCCCATTTTCACTGTCCTTATATGCAAGGGTGTACTGGTTTGCAGGAATATTTGTTTTTCATTCAAAAGTTTATATCTATAGTGATAGATTGACCTTGTCATTCAGCTAAATTGATGCTGACTCTTGAGAACTTCGAGAAAACTTGTTTTGATGACTTCTGTGTTGGACATTGATTTTGAATTCTTTTGTGCTATATAGATATCACATTTATTGAATTTTTCAGTGGATGCACTCACCCCCTGAAGCTAAAATTTTCAAACTTTTCTTCCCTCAACTGTGGTGCAAAAACTTTGAATAGTAACTGGATAGTTTCTCATGGTTTGCCCTAATGGAAATAGAAAATGTCACTCTGCTATGTGATTTCTATTCTGAAGCAGTTCTTTCTATATTGGTGCTTGTATTTATCTGTGGTATATAAATGTGTAACTTTAATTTTTGAAATACCCTTTGAGTTCAGGGACGTTTAAGTTGACACTTATATTCACTGAAGACTACCCAAACAAGCCACCAACAGTGCGGTTCGTTTCTCGCATGTTTCATCCAAATAGTATGTTGGAATTGGGATTTTGTATTTCTTCAATGACTTTATTAAGTTAAAAATGGCAAATGAGGTTTTATACATTTGTATTCAATTTTTCTTTTGTTAGTCTATGCTGATGGAAGCATATGCTTGGACATTCTTCAGAATCAGTGGAGTCCTATATATGATGTTGCAGCTATACTCACATCTATACAGGTACCTGCTAATAGCCAAATCATTGTTTGCAACTTGACTCTGTTTTCTCCTTTACTAATATGGTATGTAGTATACCTCACCAAAAAAAATATGGTATGTAGTATAGTACAAGTTCTGGTTGCTTCTTTAAATTAAATATTGAAACCTGTTTCTTTTCCTGGTGGTCAAATCATCAAGAGACTTCAGTAATTTCCATTTTCAAATTCTGAGTTCTACAAGTTCATTTTATACCTTACTACAAATTCCATAGATGTTTTGATCTTACAGTAGAAGTAGGTAAAAATTATTTCTGCATAAATTTTGTAATCATTGTTTCATCGTAATACCATTACAACTGGCCATCTTAGAAATTGTTCTTTTTGGAATAGTGTTTTGGGCACCAACAATCATGAATTTACTAGGGTGAGTGAAAGGAAGAGGAGGTTTCAAACAATCAATCTGCAAGTACAAAAGAGAGTGGCCTTGTTTGGTAAAATAGTTAGCCTATCAGCCAATTTTGGCTTATTTGACCACTATTAGCTGTTTGACATAGTTAAACAATCAATGTGGGTGTTTGATTAATTAGTTTTTTGTAACAATTTATTGCTCTAAAAGACTAAAATGCTAAAATTCAAAAAGCTGCTCAAAGTAGCTTTTTCGATCAGCTTTTTGAAATAGTTATTTTGTGTGTAATCAGCTAACAGCTAATTTACCAAACACTTTTCTACAATCAGCTAAGATGTGTTTGGTTCATGGGTTTAGCTATCCGGAATTGGAATCAAAGTCATTGTTATTGTTTGGTTGACAGGTTTCTAGAACACTATTATGAGATTTGATTATCACCTTAATTAGAAAACTCATTCCATTATTCTCCTCCTAATTGGTAATTTGATTTTTAAGTATGGATTAGTGATTTTAGAATTTTTTTTTTTCCGGTTCATATTGGTGCTTTGGATATCTTTATATTAGAATAAATTGTCTTGATTTTTTGTTTTTGTATTTTTAAAACTTTTATTCCCATTATTGGATCATACATAACCAAACAACAGCATTGGTAATCATTCCAATTCCACCTTACTACCAAACATGCAAAATACTTTGACCAAAAGCCATTACTATTACCAATTATTTGATTCCCATTCTGATTCCGAATCTCATGTGCGAACCAAACACACCCCTAATTCTATCAACTAGTCAAACACACTAACTCAATCAGCTAACAGCTATTAGTTAACAACCATTTATCAAACACCCCAGTATGTACTTACAATGGAGGAAGGGTACACTAAAGCATGTATATGCACAGTAGAGGGAGTGAAGGAGCATACTAGTGTATATGTCCTCTCTCTCTTCCCCCCTGCCCCCCCCCCAGCTCTCCACCCCCTTTTTCTGTCATGTCCATACACATGCATGTGTGCTGGAGAGAGGGAGATTTTCCATGGTTAGTGCAGAGATGATTAATAATATTCACAGGCAGGAGTTTATTGTTTGGCTTGCAATTAGTGTGTAGTGTGTACCCTTCATGAGTATTTAGTTATTTACTAATCCCACTTGTTTTATGCTGCAGTCGCTGTTATGTGATCCAAATCCAAATTCTCCTGCAAATTCTGAAGCTGCTCGTTTATTCAGTGAGAACAAGCGTGAATACAACCGCAAAGTACGAGAGATTGTTGAACAAAGCTGGACTGCAGACTGATACCCACTGAAATGTAGCCATCTGGCATCTATCTCAAGGGCTTAGAGCTCTTTATGCAACATTTTCTGAATTGGAAAATCTTCTTCCTGCCTTTCTTAATTGAACACATTTGTTTTTACCTTATTATAGCAGTCAAGATACTAGGTAAGATTTGCTGCATTGTGTTGCCAGGCTTCTGTAAAGTAAAATTTTCTATATCAAGAACATTGAGAATGTGGTTCCTGTTTCAAGCATTAGAAGTGTCATCATATTACATAGTAGTTAGCTTTTAATTGTTTGTTATTAGGCATTTGGGCATGTTTAGAGGGGAAAATTGTATTCATTTTCCACAATTCTCCAAATGAAAATTTGGGATTTGGTTCTGGATTGCCTATTTACTCTAACCCTCCCTAGTTGATAAAATAGGCAATAACCTCTCTTCTCAGCTCAACTCTTCTGTTTTGCCCAAGTGCCCAACTCCTCTCGTCATGATACCTCGACTCTCCCCCCTCTCTCTCTCTCTTTCTCTCTCTCTTTCTCTCTCTCTCTCTCTCTCTGGCTATGGACCAGGCAATGTTTTGAAGGAGAATGCGGTCCTCTATTGTTGCCACTGCACTTTACCATTAGAGTGAAAAACTCTTTAAAAGTAATTCTATGGGAAAAAAAAAGTTAAAGGGAAAATTATTTATAAATAATAATAATAATAATAATAATAATAATTATTATTATTATTATTGTTGTTGTTGTTGTTGTTGTTGTTATTATTAGTAGTAGTAGTGTAGGGATATGTTGGTATTTATATTCATTAATAATTTAATTTAATTTAATAATAATAATAATAATAATAATAATAATAATAATAATAATAATAATAAAATTTTGTTTTTGGAATTTATAGGTGACATTTTACTTTTTATTCCTTTTTTGAAAATATTCTTTATTGGTCCTAATATTATTGTGACATGATCATTTTTTGTCTTCTATCAACAAACCTATTTAAATGGCGTTAAATAGGTGAACATTTCAGTCTATTCAGTTCTGAATGTCAATTTCTTTTTTGGTCCTAGATTTATATGTGTAGTGCCACTACTACGGAGGCACAAATTGCAATTGAAGAAGACATGAGACTCTAGCCGTGAATTATGAATTTTTCAAAAAAAAAAAAAAAGAAAGAAATATAGGGGGTCATCTTTGGAAACGTTGGGGCAAAGAAATTTGTTATTAGTCGATTCCTTAATTGCAAGATGGTGAATTCCAAGACCGTCTTGAGTCAAGTTGATGGTCAAATCATATTGATTCTAATACGACGTCGTTTGACTTTATGATCAATGCTACTACATGGACCATGGTCCATAGTAAAATTTGCCCACGAGCTCTAATCCATAGGCAAACCATAGTAGGGTAGGACCTAATGGGGTGAGCCGGTCCACTTTAATAATTCTACTTGGCACCTGCCGCCAACCTATGACAATCGGTCAAACAACTATGTCAATCCTTATACTATGGACCAGGATTTATAGTGCACTGTGGACTCTGGTGCATGTGTATGTCTTATGATATAAATTTTTGTGTTATGTATTATAAAATTCTGTGCTTTTAAGAGTATGAATTATGTACCTACAAATTAGTAACAAATAACAAAATATTATGAATTTTGATATTTTGTGTTGTGAAATTTTGTGTCTATAAACACAAATTATGTATTTAAATTAGATTTGAAAAATAAATAAATATATAACATGTATATATGATTATGTGTCTTGTTTGTAATTTTTGTGTCTTCTATTGTAATTTTTTATGTTTTGTGTTATAAAATTCTATAATTTGTTAGTATGTCTATGGTATAATTGCCCAACTATGCCTATAAAAAAATGGCGAAAGATTGGAGAGAGAAAGGAGAGACATAGTTCAAGACTGTGGGGAAGAGAGGAGAAAAAGGTTTTTTTTTTTTCCTTAAGTTTAAATTACGCCGTATATACGATGCATATACATATTTCATATTTGTATATAATTAAGGTTTCTGTTTTGTTTTCAAAACAAAGAAAAACAAAAGTTTCTGTTCTCTAAGAAACTAACCCAGTTACCTTTTTACACAATTTTGTCTAATTTTTGCGAAATGCATAAAAATGTACAACCTGTTGTAAATAGATTTATGGTGGACATTAATAATAGCTTTGTAACATCTGTAACGGATGTAATTATTCTCTATTATTATATCTCTTCATTGTATCTTGTATATATAGATCATTGTACTATGATGAAGAGATGGAATAAGATGATATGTCTTTCCCTCTCCATTCTCTGTATTTTCCTTTTCCTTGTTATTTACAATTTCTTATCCACATGAGTACTTTATAGAGCATGTGTGCAGGAGAAATTATTGAATTATCTGTTTTGGGATATACTTTTGTTTTAAATCCAAATCTAACTCACAGCATATCACGAACCAATCCCTCAAGAATTGTTACACCTAGTACATGGTTTCAAAATAAACATTTCCCTATATTTATAGTGCGCAGTCTATTTCAATATATGACCACCACAACGTACCTCTAAAAAGGCTACCAAAGAAGCCTCTGTCTCTTGATTAATTAATATCAAGAGCACATGATAGGAGACCAATACATATCCTTAGGTACGCTGACTGCATACTTAATTAATGAAGATCGTTTCTCGGCATTAGGGGGAGATAAGAGTTCAAATTTAATAGAATGCCAAGAAATTTCATAAAATGAAAATATCTTTATTATTTAAATCCATGTACTAGTTAGACTGAACTGGAAATTCAGAAAATGATATATTTGCGATATTAAATAATCTGCCAAATACATTTATTGATCATACTGATCATAAAAGAGTTACTAGGTCTCATGTACCTTCCCCAACCTAGACCAAATGAATATATCGGTACTCCTTGATACCAGAAGTATAGTAGATCCATCGGTGTAAGAAATAAGAATCATTATACTAGATCTAGTATAGAAACATTGTCACTCTTGAAGCATTGAATAATTTAGTCCTGAAGATGCTCATCCAGATGACGAGAAACCCTAGTCAATTTACAGGTGCACCAAACAAACACAATACTAGGGATGCGGAATGACCATATCAAAATATCTTTGGGAAATACTTAGAATCTGGTTGTTTTAGAAATTGCCATTACTTTTACAAAAATGGGAGACATTTATAAAAAGGTTATAGTTGTCGACAACACAATTGCCATTACAAATTGCTCCGTTATATGATAATCTGGATTCAGAGTTAGGCACCGGAAGTGCCATGACTATTTAATGTATAAAGGAGCAATTAAGGCATAGCTTGACTCGCTAAAATGGATAATTCTCTTTATAACAATACACCATTTGAGCGTTAACCCTGAAGGTTACAAATGGGTGTGTGCATGAAAGAGAAATAAGGCTAATGAGGTGATGAAGCGAGTTTGTAGCCTATGGGTTCACGCAGAGACCCTTAATTGATTTTAATCAAATATACTCTCCCACGGTAAATGGCATTAAATTCCGCTACATAATACAATTGACAGAATAATAAATTTAGATATGCAGTTAAATTTATCTTGAAAAATCCCTAATGGATTCATAATTCTCGAAATGAGGATTTATTTAAGTATTATTATGTGCCGTTATTTATTTTTTAAAGAGTTGCAAATGGGGTTATTATCCTCATATAGAAGGAATAATATGTATCATTATGTGCTCAATAAAGAATTGATAATGGACTTATTATCTCAGTCAAGATTGATAGTGTAAACATCAATGAAATATATAAAGAGATGGATGATGTCAGTTCATGCTTAAAGACCTGAGATTTTTGAAATAAAAAGCTTGTGAAAGCTATAAGTATTATCTCGACTTGAAGATCGAGTTTTTTCTTGAATAATTTTTTTTTATATACACTAGTCAGCCTACATCTAAAAAAAATGCATTTTCACATGTCTATATGCATAAGTGTCATGTTTTTATCAAACTAAAGATTGCCTAATAATCTCCTGAAGCAGATAAGGAACCGTTTGGACTCGAAGTCCCTTACTTCATTACCGTTGGAGCACCATTTTAGAATCAGAAGTTTCATAATCGCAACATGCATGATATTTGCGATGAAATTGCTAGCAAAATCTAGTGCTCCTCCTACAAATGAAGTACTTGAATAATGATTAACATATCCTCCGGTATCTTCGAGATACAAAGACATGACATTTATGTAAGAAACTATGATACGGTTTTAATAGGCTACTTTGGTACTGGCTATTTTGTTTGATCCCCGCAATGCCAAGTCCAAACTTGTTATTATATAATGAATTTCCCTAAATGTTCAAAATGAGGACAATAACACTTGTGTTGCACGAATGTTATGTGAGCTCTAGAAAAGCCATAAGATTATTAGATATTTACTCTTGACAATCCAGAAGATTTGTCCAATCCATTTTCTCAAATTTTCTAAATATATGTAGAACTTTAAGATTGTTATCTTCAGAGGGAGACGGAAAGTACATTTACTCGAATCAATCCGGAAGATTGGACGTAAAATCCTGAAGATTAAGTCATAAAAGACTAACAGTTGCGCACTATTTGCAACACATCATGTACTCTTTTCCTCACTAGTTTTCTCCCATTGGGTTTTTCTAGAGTGGTTGTTAATGAGACATGTGTATGATATAATGATGTAAATGGGGAAATGTTGCAAAATAAGTGCTTAAATGGACAAACCCCAAAATCCTGAAGATTATGCAGTTTGCGTCTTAAAGGCTTATGGTTGTACTCTTTTTCCCTTAACTAATTTTTTCCCACAGGGTTTTCTTAAGTTAAGGTTTTTAATGAGGCGACCAATACAATATATGTTTTTACATATATCATTTACTCTTTTCTTCAACTAGGTTTTTCTCACGTGGTTTTTCTAGTGAAGTTTTTAATGAATGTACTCTTTTCTTGACTAGGTTTTTCCCACATGATTTTCCTAGCAAGTTTTTAATGAGGCAAGATCATTGTCAAATAATATCCAAGGGGGAGTGTTGTAAATAGATTTAGGTGGACATTAATAATAGCTTTGTAACGTCTGTAACAGATGTAATTATTCTCTAGAATTAATTTCACTTTTGGTCCCACGACTTTTGATGTTCTATCACTTTTGGTGCACAACTTTAAAATTTTTTAATTTTGGTGCCTAACTTTGTTATTTTTATCAGTTTTGGTCCTTTCGGCCAAATTGACAGCGAAATGTTGTTGGATTTTATATTTTTAGGGGTAAAATCGTCATCCTAAGGAAGCATCTTCAATATCTAAACAAAATCACTTAAAATCATATCTATAGGTGTTTGATCGATGAGAATAATGGGGAAGACGGGCAGAAACCAGACAGATCTATGGGATTTATAGTTTCGACCATTGGCAAACTCTTTTTTTCCTCTTAGTATGATTTTTCTTTTGTTTAAATATTGAAGATCTTTAAATTGGATGACGATTTTGTCCCTAAAATATAAAATCCGGAAATATTTTACCGTCAATTTGGCTGGAAGAACCAAAACTGATAAAAATAACAAAATTAGGCACCAAAAGTGAAAAAATTTAAAGTTGTGCACCAAAAGTGATAAGAACTCAAAAGTCGTGGGACCAAAAGTGAAATTAATTCTTATTCTCTATTATCATATCTCTTCATTGTATCATTGTATATATATAGATCATTGTACTATGATGAAGAAATGGAATAAGATGATCTGCCTTTCCCTTTCCATTCTCTGTATTTTCCTTCTCCTTATTATTTACAATTTCTATGATTTCTTAACACAACCTTCTCCGATGCATATTTACGGCAAACTATAGCATGGACTAAAATCCACAATAGCCAATAGTAGGTCCAAAATTATATTTACATGATGTGTACAGTTAATTTAATATATATATATCTTTAATTAAAAACACATAATATGTTCAATCTGTAATTAATAAATTATATATATGTAACATATTACGATCTTCAATCTATTTGTAAGTACATAACTTATTAACTGAAAATACATAACTAAATATGGTTTTGAACCAAGTCCATGGTGTAAAAATTGCATATTTACGGAATGAACCCTTATCAACCATAAACATTGTCGGGGGAGATCAAGTAAAATCATCTGCGTGGCTGCGTAGTCCATTTCCTAGATAAAGCCGATTTTCAAATAAAACAAATGATTTGCATCCAATTCTCATATGAATAATCATTCATTTAGCCAAATATAATATATAATTACAAACCCATTAGACGAATTTTTGGGAATTCATCACAAGACGACAGATTTTAGTATACTGTGAAAGCACAGGTGTATAATAGTAACAAAGCAAACAAGTCTGGCCAAAGTAAAAAATACCAAACCACAAGCTATTGACTTCAGCTAAGGCTGAAACAGAACCATCAAGCAAACATTCCACTGTTTCTTGGTTTAATGCCTCTCTACTCATCTGTGCAACTGAGGGCTTCTGTTTGGAGAGCATCCTAAAATACATCACATTGGACAGAGTCAACAATAATTTAAAACCTTGAAATAGAGATATAGATTAAAGTCTTCAATGTATGTATTTCAGAAAGTTTACCGAGTTTTCTTTGTTCTCTTCTAGCACCTTCTCTGGAGGTGGAGCATCAATAAGCCCTATGATGAGATTATCAGTAACAAAATGTTAGCAAACGCGTAGATTCAGATTTTGGAAAGGATGGAAATTGGAAAGATGTTAGGTATTACCTTCATTTGCACTTTTCTTTCCCTGACTTTTCACCTTATCATTATTATTCTTAATTGGTTTTTGTTGCTTCTTTTGTGTGTTGCGACCACGAGTTCCTGAGACTGCAGCAACTTTCTTCTCAGACCGGTTTGTCTTTGTTGCAGCAGTATCACTCTTCACTGTAGTATTCCTAGTTGATTCCTTTGCTTGGCCAGTTTCTGCAGCAGTCTCTTTAGTGGGGGGTTTAGGCACCACTTTCTCAAAGTCTGCCACAGATGAAGAGCTGTGTATTTCATCATCTGAAGATCGTGTACCCTCTTCAGGCACATGGGAACAAGTCTCAGACACTTGCAATTGCTCAAAGTCTGGTAAAATGTTGTAGCTTTCAAACAGTTGTTTCAGAGGCTCTCCAAGTTCCACGAGGTTATGACGTTGTGTATATGCTTTAAGCTCATCCCTCATACGCTGAAGAGGCTATTGACACAATTTTTTGTAGAACAAACACTAGAAATGGTTAGTATTATCACATGTAGATACATGAGCAAAACATCCAATAAACAACTTATTCAACTTATCAATCTATTCCCATCATAGCAGCATTAATTCAGTTTGAAAAGACATTATCAACCATAAACATTGTCTTTGAGGACTAAAATAGATCATTGTTTTTTGTATTAATTCCATAAAGCTCTGAAATCATAAAGCAAGGCATACCTCACATCCAGCTTCTAAGCCAAGTTTGAAAAACCCAAGGGAAATAGAGTGTTTTGCAGAAGATTCAGAAAGCTTGATCTGATTTAGCCAGTATGATGCTGAAAATATAACATTGAATTTCCTTTTGGTTAAAGACTTTGAAACATCCGAAAGTGGGGTATCACTTTTCCCTTCATTACGAATGGATCTTCTTGATCTAGCCTCAGCAATTGGAGTGATGTTTCCAACTTGTCGTGAAGCAGGACTAGCAATTGACTTGGAGGGAACGGACATCCTTCTTGGAGGCTTAGCAGGTTTGTCCTTGCCATTCAGATCGAGGACACCAACACTCTTGCTCACAGATGGTGCAGGCTTTCCCCTAGTTGCAGTTGAATACAAGATATGCATTATCAGGCACACACTAGGGTCCACAAGCAAGTGTACAGATTTAATTCACAAGATTCATTTGAAGAAAAATTAGGTCGTGTAGCAATATAGTATCTCAGTATGCACATAAGAACTGCAACATAGTATTGACTGGTATTTGTAAAATTTTCATCTTCTTTGAAGAAATCATACAGATTCTTTCGTTAATTAAATTCATTGGAAGAGAAATTAGATCATCTACAAATCTAGTATCTCATTATGCACATTACAACTGCAAAATATTCTCTGACTGGTTAATTAGATAACTTCAAAATTGCATACAAATACTCTCAAATCACAGTCTACTTGAATTTAAATAATTTGAGTGCAAAACATCAAGTAGGAGCCTTATAGACCACTATTAGCATTAAGTCTCAATCAAAATGAGCCAAGCAGGTAATTCTTTACAATAAAATGTCAAACAAATGAACCGACAAAATATTTCTAATTGCATACATCTCTTGTCACTCACCTGTATATTCATTTTTTTAATTAATTTTTTAGGCAATACGGGAAGCAGAATTCAACCATATTCAGCAGAAAACACCCACACATAGGGGGAATGGAAGAAAAATTTTAGACCAAAAGTGCAAAAATTAGCGATAAACCCATTTTATGATGACAGAGTGATCGTTCTAAGGAACTGCACTGAGTTGCATATACTGACTTGACTTTAAAACATTAAAATTCCATAAGATTCATCACAATCTAGAACCAAAAACACACGCACACCAACATACAACAGAAACAGATAATCACAAGCGCATATGTGAGAGAGAGATGAACCTCCTGGGAGCAGATGAGTTAGAGGAATCAGCGAGAGGCGCCTTCTCCTCCTTCATCTTTCCAGCCGATCGCAGCGGATACCGAAGCAGCCTCGAAGAAGATCGCCTAGCACTAGCTGCAAAAAAACCTATTCGTCACACAAGCAAGCGCGCACAAATGCAAAATCACATCATTTCACACATGCAGACCGAAAGAAGAATCAAAACATTTTACCGGAAGCAGATGTCTGTTCTTTGGCGGCCTCTTCCATGGAGGATTTCCGAAACTTCTAGAGAGAGAGAAAATTAACTGCAAATTCAGAGAGAGAATTGCGTATGCAGATGAGAACGATGGAAGGAAAGCGTGAGTATATATGGTGAGAGAGAGTGTGTATACAGTTAACAGAGTTTAAGGGCTGCCAGTTGGCAAATGGGCGGGAAATGTGAGTGATTCTCAAACAAAAATTAAAAATTAAAAATAAAGTGGGGAAGAACATTAGGAAACGGCTTGTTGGGCTGGGCCCGTATGGGGTCCATTTAGGACGCTCGTAATTTCGAATTTCGAATTTCGAATTTGAATTAGGACATCCTATCCGGAGTTTAACGTCTCAACATTCACAACTACTTCAGATTCAATTCAATGGAATAATTGCATCTCGATCCGTTAAATTCAAAAAATGTAAAATTTAAACTATATGATTTTAAAATGAAAAAGAGTCAAATACATTCTCCAACTTTGTATAAGAAGTTAATTAGGATCTTGAATTTTTAAAAATTGTAATTAGACACATTAATATATTAATTTAGTGCATCAAAGCCCAAAGCCCTAATTGTGACCTGCTATAACAAGTCAATAATGCACCGGCAAAGTTACGACGACATTCCGACAAAGGCATGACCAGCAGGCCGGTCGAGTTGGTCGCCTTCTCCGGTTGACAGAGATAAAAACCAGTTTGGTCTCCATCTCCGTCGATTGGAGATGGCGACCAACTGGTTGCCTTCTCCATCAACTGGAGATGACGACCAATTAGTCGCTATTTCCAATTGACAGAGATGGCGACCAACTGGTCTCCATCTCTAACAAGGCGATCGGTTTGGTCGCCTTTTCCGGCGACCTACTGGTATTGCTGCAAAAATCGCGCCTAGACACTAGGCGGTAACTGGCCGCCAAGAAAATCACCAAAATCAGTGATTTATGCGGTCGCCCGCCTAGGCGTCGACTCGGTAGCGGCAGACTAGGCAGCTGACAATTAGTTATTGTTCTTTTTTAAATGTGATATTTCTCTCAAAATACGTCATTTTTGAGCAAAAAAAAAAAAAAAAAAAAAAGATTCTAAGGGACTGTTTGGTTCACGGAATGTTAGATTACCTTAGAGAATATTAGATTGCTGGGAATGTTAGATTATTGAGAATGTTAGATTCTTGTTTTTGGTTAAAACTGAGGTATGTAATACACACACACTAATATCTTTAACATATTTTCATATATTTTAATAAATTTAAAAATTAAAATAAATAAATAAGATAACAGTATCATATATAATTACATGATTTTAAAATATTAACTAAAATCTTGAACTTAAGAAACAAAATTATTTTATATATTAACATAACGTAATAAAAATAAAAGATATATAATTACAAAAATAATTTTATACACACACACACACACACACACACACACACACACACACACACACACACACACACACACACACACACACACACACACACACACACACACACACACACACATATATATATATATATATATATATATATATATATATATATATATATATATATATAGAATTAGGTTTTGGTGCGGTTAGGGTGCTCAGGTGCGATTGTGCGGTTTAATTTGGGCCATTCATCTCACTTAAATCAACGTCCAGAATTACCAAAATTTTTTTAAAAAAATGCTGTGGCAATTTTGTAATTTTTGTATCTAGGTCAAAATTAAGGTGAGCGGTTCTGTGATTAAAATGCGTGAGTTTTGTATATAAGATGCGTGAGTCTTGTGCGTAAGGTGTGTGAGTTTTGTGCTTAATGTGCATGGGATTGTGTTTAATGTGAGTAGTTGTTAAAACTTAAAGTGTAGGCTTTTGTGCTTAAGGTGCGTGAGATTTGTACTTAATGTGAGTGAAGTTTGTGCTTAATGTGCGTAGGGTTTGTGCTTAATGTGTGTGAGGTTAGTGACTAATGTCAGTAGTTGTTGAAACTTAAAGTCTGTGAGTTAATACTTAAAGTGCGTGGGTTTTGTGTTTAATGTGCGTGAGGTTGTGCTTAATGTGCGTGGGTTTTGTACTTAATATGTGTAAGTTTGTGCTTAATGCCAGTACTTGTTGAAACTTAAGGTCTGTGAGTTAAATACTTAAAGTGCGTGGGTTTTGTACTTAATATGCGTGAGTTTGTGCTTAAGATCTAACACTTAGGGGTCGTTTGGTTCACGGAATGTAAGATTACCTAGGGAATGTTAGATTGCTGGGAATGTTAGATTACTGGGAATGTTAGATTCCTGTGTTTGGTTAAAATTGGGGTATGTAATATAATGATGTTTGGTTTAGGGTTATCTTTTATACACACTATAATATCCTTAAACATATTTTCATATATTTTAATAAATTTAAAAATTAAAATAAATAAATAAGATAACGGTATCATATATAATCACATGATTTTAAAATATTAACTAAAATCTTGAACTTGAGAAACAAAATTATTTTATAAACTAACATAACATAATAAATAAATAAATAAATAAATAAATAAATAAATAAATAAATAAATAAATATATATATATATATATATATATATATATATATATATATATAACTAACATAACCAAGGTTATCTTAGATTACCTAAGATTTTGAAGGGAATCACATTCCCTTCAAAATCCTATGTGGAGGGAATGTGACATTCCTTGGGAATGTTAGATTCCCTGAGATAATATGAACCAAACATCGGAATGTGAGCTTTGGAATGTCACATTCCCTTGGTTATCTTATATAACCTGAACCAAACGCCCCCTTAAGGTGCGTGTTTCTATCATTTAAGGTGTGTCATTTTTAGATTATGCTTCTTACTTCCAGACACGTGTTTTTTTTTTTTTTTAATTTTCATTGATTTGAACCGTTGATCTAGATTTAATCAACGGCTCAGATCTAACCGCATGGGAAGCTATACCCGCACCTGAACCCTTTCCCCTCTCTCTCTCTCTCTCTCTCTCTCTCTCTCTATATATATATATATATATATATATATATATATATATATCAATCTCACTAATTACCATTTAGCTTAATAATCATCATCATTTCCATTAATCAACACCATCAATATTAAGGGAAATTGACTGTAATAGGACAAAAAGCATAGGAGTGGACAAAAATAGGACTTTTGAAAATCGTGTACTAAAATAGAAAAAATGAGTGGAAAATGCGTATGGTGTCAGATTTTGGTCAAACAGAAATGCAAGTGGGAAATCATAATTGGTAGTCTTTGTAATTCTTAATGATGATAGTTAATTAAATCCTAAGAATTTGTTTAGGGTTGTTAATTATTTAGGCAAGTAATCGAAGAGCCTGTTCTGATTACCGATAATGTAAGGAGAGATAGGTTGTTAAAGCTTGTTAATTACCATAACCAATTTGGTGTAAGATAAAAGGATTTACATTTTATTTCAATGATCACTTCTTTGTATGAATTCTGATGTTATTCCTTGGCTTGGATACTAGTTTTCCTATGATTCATTTTTACTTAATATTCTTTGTCATTTTATTATTACATTTTGAACTTGAATTGTTATTCCTTTCTTAATCTAATCTTGGGATAAAATTAAATCAAATCAATCTCTATGATACGACCTTACTCATCATTATTGCAATTCTGTAGGAGTAAGTAATTTATTATTTGTTGGATTCGACACTCATCAAGTGTACATCTTTGTGTCTTTGAGTACAAATCTTTTGGCCTTCAAGTGCACGTTATGTAGCCTTCAAGTGCATGTTTTACCTTCTAAGAGTGCATAATTAATTTAATTCGAATTTTCCCTTTTAGTATCATTTTCTCTCTCTCTCTCTCTCTCTCTCTCTCTCTCTTGCCTTCTAGTGATCATCTTTATGCTTTCAAGTGCTCAATTTAATGCTAAAAGTGTATGTGTGTCTTACTATTGTGTAAATATTTAAAAAAAAAAAAACAAAAACAAAAACAAAAAAACTTGCATTCAAGTGAACCCTTTTGCCTTCAAGTACACAGTTTTATACCTTCAAGTGCATGTTTTTTGTCTTCAATTGCACAATTTCTGGGCAGTATTTGTTATATACTGTGCATTCTTTTCAATAACATATAACTAAATTTCTAATGAAATTTGTGAGATTTACAAATGATTTGTATGGGTAGTTGGTTTAATAACACTTAAGTTGAATAATCTCCCTTTTTGGTACCATAAATTGCATCTCACATCTACTTGCCTTCAAATGCAATTTTTTTGCCTTCAAGTGCATGATTATAAGTCTTCAAGTGCACCAAACGTATTTTCGCACGAGAAGTGGCATGTGCACCTGATCCTCTATATATATATATATATATATATATATATATATATATATATATATATACACACACACCTTATGCATCAAAATGAAAACCCCTTTGTTCATACGCTCTAAATTCTCACACTAAATTTCTTTGCTCCAACTTCTTCAAATTGCTACTAAGAGGTATGATCCCAACTTAATCTTCTTACTATATATATATATATATATATATATATACACACACACACACCTTATGCATCATAATGAAAACCCATTTGTTCATACGCTCTAAATTCTCACACTAAATTTCTTTGCTCCAACTTCTTCAAATTGCTACTAAGAGGTATGATCTCAACTTAATCTTCTTACTTTATGTTAGTTTTTATTCTTATTTTTAATTATATGTGTATCTTTATCCAATAGACATAAATCCTATTTGAGCCGAAGCAATCCATGTAGTCTAGAAAACCTTGGGGGAAGAAGTACCAGAAAGGGAAAAGAGTACCCAAATAAGGTTCATAGATGTTGTTAGTATTGTAGATGGAGAAATCCAGTAGTAGGTTAGGGATGAAAAGGTGAGGGTTTTAGATAAAATATGATTAAATAGTAAGCATAAAAACTAACATGAACTGATAAGATGAAGAAAGATTATATCTGGCAGTAGTAAAGAGAAGAAGAAGAAGCAAAGCTTAAAAAACCATTTGAAATAGTAAAATTTTGAAAATATAAATTCTCAAAACAACGCCTCTGGAAAAGAAAACCTCTAGAAAAAATTGAAAACATGGACAAAAAAAGTTTATTCGAGACTATTTTGGAAATAATGAAAATTTTC